TCTTAAGATGGGCCAGTTTTAAATTCACCCCATCATAATCTACGATCGAAACTTGACTAAATTTATTGGTTTTTCTGAAATTAACAGTGGAATTGAATTATAGTAATATTTGGGGGCCATATTGGAATTTCCGAAAGAGATCCGAAGTTCGGCATTTTGTCAGTCCCGTGAGTGTTGGATTTAGGGTCCTATACTTCCTTTTCTGTTCGCTCAAATTACAATTGCCAAGGCGCTAAATAGATTTCTAGCTTGCGATTTTTCCTTAAGCTGGGGGTGGATACAAGATGCATACCTTTTAAATTTTCTCCTTATGCGATGTTTTTTTAAAATTATTATTTCGTTTATTTATTTTCTTACAGGCTGCTGCCGAAAGTTTGCTAAGAATTGGCGATGTTCTGCAGCAGATCGCAATACGGGCGAATATTTCGTCGACTTCGTTATTAATTTTTTTTAATAGTCTTTCTCTCAGAAAATTATTTCATCTTAAATAACTTTCCTTGACAATTTTTTTTGCTACAAAAAAATATTTCGTCGGAAGCGCCGCTGCATCGGAAGCGCCGCATGTAGGAAAAAAACAACTTTTTTTTCGATAGCGCCGCGGCTCTTCCGCCGAAAAATACGGTAACCTATAATATTTTAGTACTGCGCAACTTTTTAAGTCCTCTTGATATAGTAAAAAAATTTTATCCTTTGAAGAAACCTAATTTTTTTAAGGCTGCATAATTTAGGCCATTAGGAGAGATCAAATCTAGGTGAAGTTTTGTCAAGACTAGGTGTAGCCACGGCAATAAAGAGGAGCAAACACACCAACTCTGAAAACTTAGAAGTCCTTCTTAATTCAGAGATGTGAATCGGGCATAACCACCAGAGCCCAGTGATACTTTCCTTATGTAGCATTGATTAATAGTAGGGTGAAAAGAATGCCCTTAAAGTTGTTGGTTAAATTCTAAATATCAAAAAAAGCTTTATAGTTTGTCTAAAGTAAGAACTCCCCAAGCCATTCGTCGGGACCTGTGGCAATGACTATGGTAACAAGGTATAACTATTTCAAGTAGGGAATGGGGTCTATGTTGAAGACAGGTTTTGGTCAGGTCGTCAATAGAGTGAAGAGAAGCAACCCTATCTGAAATACGCTATTCTCTTTTCCATTGCAGCAGACGGCCTCAGACATTGTAGCGGGGGGAGTTCTTACTGTAGACAAACTGTAATTACATTTCACTATCTAAAAATTCTGCTAAATCAGGAGTAAATTAAACTAAGTAAATCACACAAGTAACGACAGAAAAAAGTATTTGGTATTACAGTTTCCCAATTAAAGAGTTATATGAAATAAAAATAAGATCTTTAAAAGCTACAACTAATTAAAACTATAGATATTTCTATTTAGCTTATGACATGCTTACCAATGCAGCAATGACATGCAATACTCTGTAGGAAAAGAAAACTATTATGTTTTCAAAGATCTCTGAAGGACAGTTGTGAACCCAGCAACACTTTTGGGTTTGTTTACATCAACATGAGTTCCAAAATTTAAAAGAGTTCATTAATTAAAAAATGAGTTCCAAAATTTAAGGACAGAAAAATAATGGAGCAGGCTGTTATCACTCAAAAACACTTCATTTTCAAATTTTTACCACAAATTTTTAACTGAATCTTGATGAAGAAAAAAACAATCGAAATGAAATAAAAATATGGCCACTGAAGCGGACGTCTTTAGGGGGTACCAGATTTCAGGGGGATTTTTTTATAGGAAAAATTTCCAGAAAATATCATTGGCCTGTTGAGGGTTTTTCAGAGTGGAAAGCTAAAATAATTGAAAAAGTTAAATTTAATTTATTTAATACCAGATACATAAAGATAAATTTATTGTTACTGCTGTTGATAAAGCATCAAATAATTTTTGTATTATGTGTAAATATTTTTTTAAAAAGTTGATTATTGGAGAATATAATGCTAATAATACTTATTTAAAATTAAAAGAAGATAAGAAAGTTATTGAAAAAAGGATTATTGCATTTAGTAAAAAATTAAAATTAAATAGGATTACATTTCCATATTTATTTCCTATTGTTAAATTTCATAAATGTCTGGTCAAATTTAGGTTTATTGCATAGGTAATTGTTACAATTCTGATATTAGTAAAAAGTTCTTTAATTTTCTTAAAATTATTTGACTAAAAATTAAAAGAGAGAAAAATATTGTTATAGAAAGTAACGTTGATGTTTTGGACTATATTAGTAATAATGTTATTTCTAGTATTAATACTTTTGATTTTGAAAATTTGTACACCAGTATTCCACCTGCTCAGATTGTTGAAATTTGTAGTGGCATATATGATAAGTATTTAATTAATGAGAAAATTGAAAAATCTTATTGGTTAGATTTATGCAGGTTTAATCTTTTTGAGAATGTACTTTTTAATGGATTAGATTTTTATAAACAAATTACTGGAATCCTTTTCTGGTGCTTTTGCTAATATTTTTTTACATTTTTTTGAAGCTAAATTTCTGGAGTATAGCGATTTAAATGCTTTTAGATATATTGATGATTTGATTTTGCTTAATTATTATAATTATGATTTTAATTATAGTATTTATCCTAAAGATTTGGTTTTGAAAAAAAGCAATGAGAATTGTTTAAATGTTGAATATTTAGATTTTAAAATTGATATTGTTGATAAAATAATTGAAATCGGTGTTTTTGATAAACGAAAAGCTTTTAAATTTAAAGTTATTTTTTTCTGTAACTTTAATACTAATTTGTGCAATAAAATTTTCAAAAAATTTTTTTTTTTTTTTTTTTTTCGCAAATGTTTAGGATTAAAAAAATTTGCAATAATGTTGAAAGTTTTTGGGAGGCTGCGAATAATTTTTTGAATAATTTGAGTAATAATGATTTTCCTTATAATTATTGTAATGTTAATTTTTTGATTAAGAAAATGATTGAGGAATACTAATTTTTTTAACGGGGCGAAATTAAAGTCTTGACTGAGCAGCCCCAGTTGAGCATTATATTAATCTGTTACATAATCTACTTTTACTACTACCTTTTTTCCTACTGCCCATTTTATAGCGAGCGTTTTCTTTTATTTCAAATGTTTCTGTCACATTTAGTTAGTTTGTGAGATTGCTGTTTGACTGGCTTGCTGCGAGCTTTAATTTCTTCACTTTTGTATTTTATTCTCAAGATGTATGTATGTTTTGTATTGTATTATATTCAAGATTTTGTTTGAAATTTCTTTTCTTATTTGATTTTCTGTATTTCTTCCTAGACTTTTACAAAACCTTCAGGGTACTGAGAGAGCTAATTTTGACATTTGTCCAGTCTCTCAATAGAAAAGGTTTTGTTCTATGGCTTCCGGAGCTGGTATCCCTGAAGACGTCGGCTTCGGTGGCCACATTATTATTTTTTTAAATTTTATTTGCATTGTTTTTTCTTTATTGCTTCAATCATTCTTTCTTTTGAAAATCTGATGCTTTTAAGGGCATTTAGTTCTGTTATTATAGAATTTTATATTTTGAATTCTTTTACTACTATTTTTATGTGGTCTTAAAGAGTACATAAAGAGAAAATTTTATATACACAAAATATGTTAATTATCAGGTAGCAAAATACAAAACTTGAAATAATACATACCTCAAGAGCTCTGATTAAAAAGATTTCTTGAGCAGTGTTTTTAATAGACAGGTAACTTGTAGACAAATCTGATGCTAGTCTCTGGGTTGATTATTTATATGCATTGAAAATTAAAGATGCAAATAGGAGAGTGGGAATATAGGAAAAATTGAATACAGGGGAAAAAGACTGAAAACAGTATTAAAGAGAAGCTAATGTGGGAAAATGTGCAATTTGGATGAAAGATTAAAAAATGTTTAGATTAAGATTATAGAATGTAATAATATAAATAAAAGTAAAAATATAGATTTGAAATGACTAGAATAAGCAAATGAAACATAGATTTAACAAAGCAACATGCACAGCTGAAACTCAAGAGGCATAACATACATATCTATAATATATTTTTTATACTGATAAATAACATTTAGGAGACTAGAAAAATACAACTGCATATATGCTATCTGAGAATAATTGTAAAATTCAATATCACTTTGTACAATTTTTTTTGTTTGCATGTTAGATGGAAATAAAATGATTTATCACAAAGATTTCCATTCTTAATATAAGTGTTATAACAACACTATCTTGGTATAAGTAAATGGACTTAAAGGTCAGGAACAAAGTCTCCCCACTTTCATTGTCAAATATCTTTTTTTTCCTTCAAATTTTTTTAAAGAATTTTCATAATTTTTCATTCATTGCAAAAAAAATTTTAGGTAATGGAAAAACATTAAATGACTATTCAAAAACTGTAGAAGAATCTGTTATGTTAACTGATAATTGTTAGCATTACGTGTTAATGACTAAACAAAGGATATTAAATGGATGGAAGACTAGACCAAAATTATTTCATGTATGTTATACAAGCTCTTGAAATCAGCTACTTACAGCAATAAGTGCAACACCAGCAGATTTTAAAGATTTAGGTTTATGATCAAAATGCATAGTAATTTCTCTAGAAACAGCATTTTGCATATCTGTGTCATGAGCAACATCCATCTAAAAATAAATATAAAACAAAACTTTAGCAACAATTGAAAGAGAAATTGATGACAAACAAAAATATATATTTAAACTTATTGAATTTCAGCAACAGAATACCAACTAATAAAACGACAATGGAAAAAAGTATTTAAACTATTAAAAATTTTTTAGAATTGATTTGTTATAAAACAAATTTCTTCCAGAACAATAATGCAACATTCAGTTTTAATTCAATCGCTGATTAAATAGATACCAATGCAAAAGCATAAATATTTGATAGAACTAACAGATATTTAGTAGACTGGAAACGGTTAAAACTATTTAAACCAAGATGTGATTTGTTTTTAATTAAGTAATAGATAAGAGTAAACCCTAAAATTGTAATAAAATATTATATAGCTTTTTCAGATTTATTAGTTACGATTTCCAGGATTAACTAGTTATTATACTCCTAAAAGGTATAAATCAGATACACAAATTTCTTAAAAGGCAAATTCATTAACATTATTGAACACTAAAATAATCTTTCTCTAACTAAAAATAATTTAAAACATAAATTAAAGATTTACATTAAGAAAAATGGAATGAGGTCAAAGATATCTAGCATAAAATAATGAAATTTATATAACAAATAGATAAGTAACATAGTTGATGATTTTATCGAAATGTATTTAAAAGATATATTTATAGACCATATGTGTGATATTTTTCTATTTAAAAATATTGCACGTACAGTTGTGAAAAAATAAGAAATTTGAGAAAACTTTATATCCTAAAGCTAATGGCATTTATAAACCACAAAATTTTGGGCACATTTTTAGTTTTAGCCCCATTATCTCAAGAGAGCAAACATATTAATTAATGAAATCCAAATTCTAAATTTTGCATCAAAATATACCCTGAAACATTAAATTTCTTCTAAGGTTTTGGTCAGGATCAGCAGTAAAAAATACGCTATATTTTTCTCTTTTGCTGAAAAATGTGTTTGCTGAAATAAGCTTTATGTACCTTAAAAATGCTTGTGACCTGTAAATGCCAATCTCACTAAAAAAATGACAGATATGAAAGTTCAAGAGAATCAAACTCTTGTTCTGCGTGCACATAGTTGTACAATTTCACTCATGAAATACATTAACCAGTGAGAGAGTTTAGTAATAATTTGAATTTTCAAGGAAATCTAAACCCTTCTAGGAAGGTATCATGAAAACAAGAACGAACTTTGACATCAATACAGTCTCATCCTTTATACTATATCAAGTGGTGTCATAGACCAGTGCATATCACAGGTAAGGAAAAAGTTTAGTTGTAACATTCTCTTCTTACAACAAAAATAAATACTACCGAAGTATGTTACACCCAATATATTTTGTAATTTCGAACTCCTTTGTATTTCTAAGAAAATCAATGAAATGGAATTATTTATTTATTTTGAAGTCAATGAATAGCTGATCAAAAAAGTAAACCATAAAACAAAATGTGTAACAATAAAATTTAAAAAGATTAACTTAAAAGAATACTCACATGTACCCAAGGGTGCTCTACTACTTCAGCAGCTGAGTATCTATCTTGTGGATCGACTTTTAGCATCATTGAAATCAACTCCTAAAAATTATTAACAAAGTTAAAATAAACACTTCAAAAACTCCTAATAAAGAAATTTATATAAAAAAATCGTAAAACGTGAGAAAAAAAAGACTTATTTTTGTATCATCTGCCCTGAGATGATTTTATAAATTAATGAGATTTTGGAAGTTGCAATAATATTAATATGTAATTGAGAGCAGGAAGGAGACCATTTTTTAACAAAAATATTGATTCTTTAATTGAGAATTTGTTGAGTCATTAATGTGATTAAATGAAAACATTTTCATTTTGCTCATTCATTACTTTGTTTATATATTTATAAGCTGCTTTACTGATTCATTCACTTTATTACCTGACGAATTTATGTGTTTATCTGTTGATTCTTTATTTAATGATTCGTCATTACTCTATCATTGATATGCTCCATATGTTCACTTATGCAGAGATTCACCAATTTCTTGATAAATCACTTTGCATATTTTTTGATTCACTAATTTTCTTATTCATTGATTAATCATTAATTCAATGATTTATTGACACTCTCATTTTTTGAGTCTTAGACTTGCTAATTCATTGATCCCATGATTTGATTCACTGATTCTTGCAGTTTTATTGAGTCATTGATTTATTTTTTGAATTTATAGAATCTTTTTTTATTTATGAAATCTCTTTTCTCAAAGTCACTTATTTACTGATTCGTTAACTGATTTATTATAAGCTGATTTATACATTCTTTCATTTATTGATTCATAGGTTTATTTATTGGCTAGTTCATTTTTCCTTTGCATATACATATCAGGGCGTATCGAAAATAATCGAAATTTCTTAGATCTTTTTGCGGTAGTGCGGAAAAGATGTGAACACCCATCATTAAAAATTGTGCGGAATATCAAAACTCTGGGTCAATATCTTCTGTCGCCTCAATGGGCCGAAAAATTAGACTAAAAATCATTACAATAAAAAAATAATAAACAAACCCTTATTTCGTTTATCGGTTTGGGATAGTGTTTACAAGTTGCTATTCTGTAACAAATACAACCATAAAAAATTTTAGAATAATATTTTACTATCTTAGGCCGCCTCGCCTTAAAATTTTGGAAAATAAAGGCCAAATTTTAAGTAAATAAACTTTACATTTACTTCATTTTAATGGGAAGAGAGACTTTATTTTACCTCTTAAACATACGAATGACAAAAGCATTACTGTTTGTAATAATTGTTTGTCTCCAATTTTGACATATGTTTTCTGGACTCTAGTGTCGCTTTAATCAATCTATCCTTGCTCAGCGGCCCAACTGTTTTTCCCGAAGCTGCAGTAACTAGTTTCACAATCTGCTCCACTGCTTGTGTGTGTGAAGGAAATTTAATAAAATCCCAATAGTCCATTGGCATACCGTCCTTTATCATCTTCAGAAGTTCTTTAGAACTGATCTCTCTGAGAACGGGAGGCGATGGCACATAACAAGCTTGCCAGTCAATGAGATCTACATAGTCTGCTGCTTCAAAGTTAAGAGCAGGAATAACGAATATGCAAACACAATTTCCTTCTGTGCTAACTTCCCTTGCCTTAATAATCCACCGAGCTGCAAGGGTCCTAATATGGCACCTCTCATCCGTTAACATGGCCAAAAGCATGTTTTCTGGATCTGCAAAGTAAGCGTTGCGAGAAATAATTGGTTCGATTACGTCACGATACTTTTTAGGCAAGTAGCGAGAGGAATAGATGAAATGTCACAGGTGTCTAGTACCATCTTTAATGGAATGATGAATCTTTATTCGGAACCATGAGGATGCGTAGACTCTTGGAATGAATACAACTAAAGTTAGCAACTCGTTTGAGGGGTCTAATGTAGATATATATAACCTCAGTATTCGATTAGCAGTTGTTAGCCAGCGAGCCAAATTCAATGCTCCTGGATCCCGGTTAGCTATATCTGAACAACAAACACCAGAACTAATGGCGGTGCAAATGTTTTATAAGTATTTCTAACCTGAACTGAGAGTGGTGGGATCAATATCTGGCATCTCGCATTCAATGTTATTAAAAGCAACAATTGAAAGCTTTTCGTATCCTTTGAGGTTCCGTCCAATGTCTCCGGTGTAAGATGTGGGGCCAGATGACTTGCCGTCAATGGACTCAAATAGGTGTCGTAATGGAAATTCATTGAAATGAAGTAAGCATATAATCCATTGTACTGGTCTCTGAAGTTTCAATTCAAGCCTGCAAATTACACCATCAAACACTCCTGTGTTCACTACAGTGCCGTCACATCCGAGAACAGAAAGGTTACTAAAATCGTCCAATAAATCACCTGTTACATATTCGTTTGTACTGGTAATTTGTACTGGTCTCTGAAGTTTCAATTCAAGCCTGCAAATTACACCATCAAACACTCCTGTGTTCACTACAGTGCCGTCACATCTGAGAACAGAAAGGTTACTAAAATCGTCCAATAAATCACCTGTTACATATTCGTAAATGCTATTAGATACATGAAGACTAGATCCACTTACAGGCGTAACATGTCCCATGTACGTAGAATCAGGCTCCGACAGAATACAGTAATGAGCTTTTACAATTGTTCTTTGGAACTGCTTGCCTTCGTGTGCTTCTGATGCTAAAATTTCGTCATGTCGTCCATCAAAATAAAGGCCATATATAGTGGAATGATTTTCATTTGATTTTGAGACAATTTGTTTCTTGGGTTCAAAATAAGGTTATTCTACTTTTTTTGGCAGAGCGCAAAATCCCGCCTGTCTCGATTGTGCAAGCAGTAAATGCGTATACAGTACCAAAATGCGTCGAAATTTCCAAAATTAGATGCCGATGAGGCGGCAGAAGATATTAATTTGTAATTCTAAAAATTTTTATAGTTGTTTTTAAAATATTGTATCTTTTAAGTGCTACCTCAAACCGATCAACGAAATCTGTGGTTAGGTATTAATTTTTGTATTTTAATCATTATTAGTCCAATTTTTGGAGCTTTAGGCCCATTGAGGCAACAGAAGATATCAACCCAGAGTTTTAAGATTCCGCTCATTTTTTAATAATAGGAATTCACATCTTTTCCACACTACCGCAAAAAGATTTAAGAAATTTCGATTTTTTCGATACGTCCTAATACATATATTTAATAGATTGTATGTTGATTAAATCAAAGAATTGGCAATTTATTAAATCACCAAATTCTTTGGTTTTCAAATTTTATTCATTCTCAATACGTTGATTCTTTGATTTGCTTTTTGATGAATTGCTTATTCATTATTTTTTTTTATTTGATTGCCGGACATACCAATTTGCTTTGAAGTTGATTCTCTATTTTTATTGATTTATTGAATTTCTCAACCATTTCATATCTGCAGGATTGCCACAGTAAAAAATGAACAAAAATAGATGCTTTTAGTAGCCTTAAGCATGAAAATAATTGCCTAAAACAATGAAAATAGTTGCCTGAACAGGAACAAAAATTTATCAAAAATAGTAGCCAAATAACTAAAATTATAGCTTAATTGTCAAATACTATTATTAGGACTGGGTAATGTTAGAAATTTTAAATCGTGATACATCGTCAGTTAGACATCACAATATAGTGATGTATTTGTTCAAAAATTACCTATGGGAAATCTTTAAATCAATCAAAAATAAATAAAAAGGGAATAAATCTAGTACAAAAGAAAATATTAATTCGAAACATATTCTACTGTGACATCAATATCATTGCTTAATTTTTTCAATTAAATTAAAAAAGAAGTCAAAGTAAAGGCAAACCCAAGCTTTATTTCATTTTTCTTAAATTAAAAATGATTTAAGATGTAACAAATGATTCTAAATGATTGTAACATACATGCATTAAAAATTAAAAGAATAGAAAAAAAAACGAAAGTGGAAAACAAACCAAAGAAATGTTCACTTTAGAAAAAAAAAATTTTTTTTTTTCATTATTTGTTGATAAAAAAACATGCTTTTGATACAACATTAGACCCTTTTTTATTTACTTATTTAAAATAATAAAAAGTAGTATTAGCTAATTGTCAAATTCTGTACTTAATAAATGCAAAAATATTTTTACTTATTTGCTATTATTTTCATTTTTGAAAATAAAATCGACTAAAGATTTATTTGTTTAAAAATGATACTGACTATCGAACAAATTATAAAACAAACAAGTATTGAAAGAATTTTAATAAAAATTTTAAAAAAATATTTTAAGTACTAATGCTAAATTATTAAAAACGTTAAAACAATACTAAACTTTTTATTTAATTAAAAAAAATTTTTTTTTACTAATAGCCAAATTTTTTTAAAACTTTGTTTTCATTTTCTCAAAAATAAAAGCAAATTAAATAAAAGTAAGTTTTGTTTTAATTTTTTTTATAATTAAAAACGACTGAGCATTTATTGGTTGAAAAACAATCAAATTATTATACTTAACTACATTTAATAAATTTAAAAAAACTAACTTTTTATAACAAAGTTAAATACAAAATACCCCTATTAAATTGTATCGCTTAAAATAAAAAACAATAATTGAAAAAAATCAATGAGTTGATCTATTAAGTTCAGAACAAAAATTTAAGATAACAGCGATTGTGCAGCAATCGCAGAGTAACAGTAGGTCTACTAAACATAATTGACAAGAATCGTCAAACCCAGACAGAAAAAAAATGGTATGAAATAATGCAGAACAAACGATCGCTGAAAAAGTCTCACTGAAAATAACTTACAAGAAACCCGACAATTATTTTCGACGAAATAAAATGCACAACGATCGCAAAATGACTCAAGTCCCATTGAAAATAATCTTCAAAAAAAGCAAAAT